TGTTCCTCCTCCTCCTCCTGTTTCTGTGGAGGGTCATGAGGAATTTGAGGTGGCTGCCATGCTTGACTCTCGTTTTCTCCGGGGTCGCCTCCAGTACCTGGTACATTGGAAGGGATATGGGCCAGAGGAATGCAGTTGGATCTCCGCTGACACTGTTCGCGCTCCTCGCCTTCTGCGGTCCTTCCATTCTCGTTTTCCTGCCAGGCCGGGCCCTCCCCGCCCGGTGGGCATGTGTTCAAGGGGGGTACTGTAGCGGTACTTACCCTCTCCAGGGGCCAGGCGAGGTCCTCTTTCCCCGCCGCGCACAGTCCTGCAACGTCCGACGTGGAGGCATGCACTGACCTTGAGAATCGGCCACGTGACTCGCCTGGCACTGGGAGCACGCTGCGCATAGCGGGCGCGCTTTTAAAGGGACAGTGGGAGCCAAAATTTAAAAAGGTCTCCCATTGGCCCATGTCATTCCACATTCCCCATACACTCACATTTTGGGGGCGTGGATATGACAAGGGCCAATCAAATTAAACTAATAGGTATTTATACTCACCCTTCCCTTAACTCCCTGCCCTATCGTGGTTTCTGATTCAGTTCCCTTTAGTGCTTACTTTGTGTAGTAATGGTTTTTTCGTGCTTGACCTTGGCTTTGTACCTGACTCAGTTTTTCTCTTTATCCCTCCTTTGTCTTGTTCACCGGTTTCCTGACTCCTGTGTACCAGTCCTTGGCTAGTTCTTGTTTACGCTGTCTCTCTGTTCCCTTGACCTCGGCTCGTTCTTCACTCTGTCTTTTCCTGTCCACGTCAAAGTCCGGCCATTCTAAGGTCCGGTAAGACTTATATTGTTTTCTTGTCTCTCGTTGGACTATTCTTGCGTGTTGGGGTATACTACCGTGACACTATAACCAAGTTGTTAACAACTGATAAAAAAAAAAGTTTCCAAACACAGCAATTCACCTTTACACTTCTCTTACTTTATCAAGTCTGTTGAGTAAACCTGCTACCCTGCCAACTAGGAAACTATGTTTTTAGGGTAGTGTGGCGGCCACCCAGGTAGAAACACGGGTTTTGCCGCCAGAGATGTCCTTTTCCCCATAGTAGTGAGTTATGCTGTAAAAATACCAAGCAGACTTTCCCAATAGCGATAATCCAAATCAGGTATTGTAGTGATATAGCAGGTATAGCTTTCCCCCACAGACAGTCGAGACTGAATGCTGAGGGTGAATTGGTTTATTGGAAGCCACACACAGCCTTTTATGCAACAGCCCCTGCAAAAGGTTTCCAACTCAAGATTACAGGGTAATCTCCCCCATGGTTTTTTCTGTACCTGAGACAGAACTATTTGAAAGTAAACATCTAAATTAAATTATCTCTCAGGTACAGAACATATACAATTATTACACCCCAAAATATACACAAAACAATCAGGTACCCCTTCAATTCCTATATCCCCGGATAGCCTGGATCTGAGCGCCCAACATATCCAAAAAGCACTCAGATCGCACAAACGCAACCAAAACACCACCGGGGTAAAGTTCTGACTGACCGCAGATGAGGTTCCTGCCCAGAATAGTCCTTCCGGGGGTACAAAAATCACACAAATTGCTGAACGTAGATATTAGTCCGTATACTGACTATGTGTCCCTCATTCGGGAATAAGCTCCCACCGAACAGTGTTCCTTTCAGATGAATATAACCGAACATAGATGGAGATGGAAGTTCAGCGGTGTTCGGGAGGTCGAGTGTCCGATTTTAGTTCCATGCACTCGACTACCAAACACTGCTGTCTGCGTTCGCGGCTCAATATGGCCGCCACCACATGTTCGTACATACGAACGGCGAGCACCCAGCCGACCGCTTAGAACGCTGTGGTTACTAGTGTTAATGAGATGTTGACAGGGGTGATGGAGTTTAACAAGCAGCACACGCAGCATACAGGTAATCTGGTAGTTTGTGGTTTTGTTCAATATTTGCACAAAACAAGAATAAAATTTTAGGCCAACACGGTATACTGAACGAATCGGAGAATGGAAAAGAGCTTTAATAATGCAGGGACAGGGTGGTCTATCACAGGTAGATTATTTTGTTTGAACACTTGTGACTGTTAAAAAAAAAAAAAAAAATCTTATATCTTTCCAAAACTAAAATGATTATATACCATTCATAGTTATAAAACGTTATTGTTGTGTGCTAATTTTAGGTGGTGAACTTTTTTTAACTAAAAATATCCCTATATACATATATATGGACACATCTATTAAGAGCCGAGTTTTTCTTGGGTTGTGAGGTTCTTTATCATTACAATTTATGTAACAGCAGATGTCTGCAGGCAGCAGCCTGGTTCTGTCCCTCATCCGTGCTAAGCCTAGAGCCCAGCCTGTTTGTGCAGCCAGAAAGTGATCTCTTGACACTGACAATTTCCTGTCCTCCCAAGCACTATTTAAAGCAATGCTCCTAGCAGTAGTCCCAATCCAATGTAGTTTGAAATCCACTTATTAAGACAGACATAAAGCTTAATGTGAAGTGTACAGAGCTTCCATTTTATAACCCTTTCCAGCTCCATTCGAATTTCTCCATGTAGAGCAGAGTCCAAGCTCTATATACCTATAGACTGCTCTCTTCATACCAAACTTCTGCAAGAGAGGCCTCTACTGGTGCAGCCTCCAAAGATGGAACATGTAAAGGCATACTCCAAGTACCTTAACCACCAGAGCATGCTGTGCCCTGGTACCTGGAGTCACTGCCTATCTCCACTACCATCTCCTAAGGAGCCAGTAGTTCCTCAGCAGGAACTTTCACTAGCTGTCCTGAGCAATGCTTCATATAATATGGTGTTTGGTTTTTTAACATAAGATCTGTAAACCCCTTTTTTATTCTCCGGAATTCCAAGCTCATTAAAAAAATCCATACTACCATTATGAGCACCGAGCAGCCAATGTTTGGTAAAATAAGCTGTCCACAATTATTGCAGAACCCCACCTTGATATGTTTGAATTGGCCCGAATCTTCACGTGGCAAAGAATGTTGGGTAATCTTTCTGGTACCAGTACTCGAATCTGATCCACTGCACTGCTAAGCTTCAGGTACCCTAAGTAAAGGCCAGGAGGAAGAGGCTGGCTGCTTCTTCTGTGATATGCTAATTTCTCCTAAGTAAGAGAGCATAATAAGTTGTAAGGGTCAGTTGTATTAAATTTATTATAGATAAAAACACACAATATACCAGCTTCAATGTACAATAATACTATTGTTTTCTTTTCATTTAATGTATAACACAAAACAATGCATGTCAATTAAAGGGATACTCTGAACTACCACTGAAGAATTATAGCTCCCTGAAGTGTTTTGAGTGTGAGTAGTGTGTCCTCTTTTTTTTTCTTTCAGTTTACCAAATTTGCAGATTTTGATATAAATTGTCATGTTTTATGGTAACTATGTTACACTCCCAGCTGTTAATCAAACAGCCAGTCCTGTTACTTCCTAGTTGTTTAGCTAATTGGAGCTAAGTTCAAGAAACAGCTGCCCAGAACACCTGCCTTGCAAAGACTTTTCATTGAGCTGCATTGCATCAAGAATGTGCAAATGATGGCAAAGTGGGAAGGAATGCTAAGTAACAATTTGACAATACAGAACTCAATGAATAGGTAACAAGTAAAACTTATTACTTCAAATTTAGGGAGAAGCAGTTATATAAGGCTAAAAACCTCTGAGTATTTCTAAACTATTTTGTCCCTTGAATTAATGAGGAACTGATGCATTGATCAGCACCATAGATCATAGTAACATCAGCAGCAGCATTGCAACCACAGTTACATCTCATTGATGAATCTAGCTTAATCACACTGCTTTCTTTGAAATCTTTCCCGTTTAACACACATACTCAGGGGCGGACTGACCACTCAGGCACATCGGTCATGGACCGAGGGAGACAGTCAGGGGCCCGGCCACACAGCCATGCTCCAGCTGGAGAGACCAGAGATCTATCCAACTGGAACGAAAAATAAATAAAATAAAACTATTTAATTGATCGGTTGTGGGGCCCCTGATGGAGCGCAGGGCTCCACAACCTACCGCTCTGCAAGTCACCCTCCCCTCCTCAAATGAGACCCGGCAGCTTCACCAGCTCTCTCTGCCAGGTCTCCTTCCTGTCCCATGCGGCTCTGTGTGATGGGAGAGGTGGGGCTAGGAAGTGACCTCACTTCCTGTTTACTCTCACACAGAGCCCGATCAGCGAGGTGAAGGAGCCACAGCCTGGGAGACCAGAGAGAAAGGTTGGCACAAGTCACCCCCACTGTGTCACTAGTCACCCCCACTGTGTCACTAGTCACCTCCCCCTCCTCACTAGTCACCCTCCCTCACTCTGTCACTAGTCACCTCCCCTCGCTCACTAGTCACCCTCCCTCACTCTGTCACTAGTCAGCCCTCCCTCTGTCACTAGTCACTCCCTCTGTCACTATGTCATCCCCACCCTCCTTGTCACTAGTCACCCCTTCCCTCACTCACTCTGTCACCCCTTCCCTCCCTTACTCTGTCGCTAGTCACCCCTTCCCTCCCTTACTCTGTCACTAGTCACCCCCTCCCTCCCTCTGTCACTGGTCATCCCCTCCCTCTGTCACTGGTCAGCCCCTCCCTCTGTCACTGGTCACCCCCTCCCTCACTCTGTCACTAGTCACCCCCTCCCTCACTCTGTCACCCCCTAGTCACCCCCTCCCTCACTCTGTCACTAGTCACCAACTCCCTCTCTCACTCTGTCAAAAGTCACCCCCTCTCTCACTGTCACCAGTCATCCCTTCCTTCCCTCACTCTGTTACCAGTCATCCCCTCACTCTGTCACCAGTCACCCCTTCCTTCCCTCACAGTGACAGTTAGGGAGGGGTGACTAGTGACAGAGAGAGGGATGGCGTGACTAGTGACAGAGTGAGGAAGGGGGTGTATAGTGACAGAGGGAGGAGGTGACTAGGGACAGAGGGGGTGATAGAGTGAGGGAAGGGGTGACTAATGACAAAGGGAGGGAGGGGGTGACACAGTAACAGAGGGAGGGAGGGGGTGACTAGTGAGAGGGAGGGAGGGGGTGACTAGTGACAGAGTGAGGAAGCGGGTGACACAGTGACAGAGTTAGGGAGGGGGTGACTAGTGACAGAGAGAGGGATGGGGTGACTAGTGACAGTCACCCCCTCCCTCCCTCGGTCACTAGTCACTCCCTCACTCGTCATCCCCTCACTGTCACCAGTCATTCCCTCACTCTGTCACTAGTCACCCCTTCCCTCCCTCACTTTGCCACTAGTCATCTTTTCCCTCCCTCACTCTGCCACTAGTCACCCCCCCTCACTGTGTCTCCCCCTCACTCTGCCACCACTCAACCCATCCCTCCCTCACTCTGCCACCTGTCACAACCTCCCATACTCTTCCACCTGTCACCCTCTCCCTCACACACTCTGTCACCTGTCACATATGCATTCACACTGACACACTATACAAAAAAGCACGTCATCCAGACATGCACAAGTGCATTCACACAGACTCAAATACAAACATGCATTGATACACAGGTCTTCACAATATACACATCCAAAGGAATTCCGTATTATGAGAGTTATATTTAACATTTATTTAATGCACATATATTTGGCCTTCAAAGGGCCTGGGATCTAATTTTGCCTGGGGGCCCCAAAGGCTCTCAGTCCGCTCCTGTACATACTCCAAGCAGCCTGTCTGTGTTATCTGACATTTGAACATCCACCTGGAGTACCCACAATCCTTTCTACTTCAGTTGTATTGTATAATGCAGTGATCGTGTGTCATCTTGGAAAATGTACTTGAGGAGCTGGTTACATATAACTGGTTTAATGTATCTATTTCCTGTACACCCTTGTATGTAAATGTAATAGGGCGGCATTATATATGTGGAAGTTAACAATATAATCATGCTCTAAATGATTGTGCTAACGCTGCTTGCTATTTTATACTTACTACTGGTACTATTTGTGTTCAGCACCAGGGAATTTGTTGATCAGGATAATGGGATTTGAAGTCCATAAACTGTATGAACAGCAAGTAACCTATACTAACTCTAGGAAGTGAGCTCTCCTTAGTTTGAGTCTTAAAGGACCACTATAGTGCCAGGAAAACATACTCGTTTTCCTGGCACTATAGTGCCCTGAGGGTGCCCCCACCCGCAGGGTCCCACTCCCGCCGGGCCCTGGGAAGAGGAAAGGGGTTAAAACTTACCTTTCTCCAGCACCGGACGGGGAGCTCTCCGCCTCCGATCCTCCTCCTCTCCTCCCTTTTGGCTGAATGCGCAAGCGCGGCAAGAGCTGCGCGCATTCAGCTGGTCTCATAGGAAGCATTTACAATGCTTTCTTATGGACGCTTGCGTGTTCTCACTGTGATTTTCACAATGAGAATCACGCAAGCGCCTCTAGCGGCTGTCAATGAGACAGCCACTAGAGGATTTGAGGGCTGGATTAACCCATTTATAAACATAGCAGTTTCTTTGAAACTGCTATGTTTATAAAAAAAATGGGTTAACCCTAGCTGGACCTGGCACCCAGACCACTTAATTAAGCTGAAGTGGTCTGGGTGCCTAGAGTGGTCCTTTAATGGCAGTGGCCCATATACATTTAACACTGATATCAAAGTTGATCTAATGTAAGTATTTGAAACCCAGGGTTGGGACTGAGACTCGGGAGGAGGGCCATGCCCTCTGACATTTAAAGGCTCATGTTCCCAGGTTCCACTATTCTTTGCAGAATTAGACTCCCTCCTCCCTTTTAATTACTATCCAATTCACCAGACCAAGGTGTGCTAAGGGTAACAAACTGAATTCTTTTCCAAAATAAGTGCATTTTTATAATTTTTCCTGTGTAAGTTATATATTTGTTCAGTGCCCGTGGGAATAAAAAAATAAAAAGAAAAAAAAATTAAGCCTACAACACACAACTCTAAACCTATTAATGTATATGAAACCGTTGTAATATATTATTCAGATGTAGCCATTAAAGCTGTGTGTCAGATTTCACTGTGATTTGCAGTGACGAGTCACATCACAGTAGAGGGACAGGTTACACATTCCTGGAAAATAACACACCGCTCCGTCCACTTCCTTCTTCCAACTACTGTAAGCCGAGAAGGTCAACTCACATGCAGTGTCATCAGCAGGACGTCCAGAGCGTTGGGCTCGTCCGGTGATGAGACAGACTTCCTGTGAGTCTGCAGTTTGAACACCGGCATCCAACGTACGTTCTCCAAAGTCTGGCTCAGTTTCACCTCCTTCAGAGTCACGATCAGGATGTTTCCCTGCTTGTCCTTAATAGGCTCAAAGAAAACCTGCCCCAGCTCTTGCAATCCTAGTAGACCCTTACACAAGGATAAAGGGTGATAGATAGGAGAAAAATAATAATTGTTCAGTAGATCCATCTTGTTAAGTTTCTGTTAAGATCAGCGACACCAATATATAATAGAAAGCCAAGCCTCCTTGGAGAGAGCATATGTAGTGATAAAGCAGTAATGAATAGATATGAGGCATGTATGATGCAGGGATACCTGGTTTGACTACAGGCTCAAGGTTTTATTTATTAAACTGGGAACTGGGCAGAACATACAAGGGCAATGCAAACTTTGGGACAAAAAAGCGATATCAGAAAAATAATTCAACCAGAATGTATACCTAATTATTAGTTTAGTAAATAAATCATGGGGCATAATTACAACACTAAAATACATTAATTATTCAACAGCTAACTCTAAACCTATAATTATTAAAGGGATACTTCAATCACCATAACAACTACAGGTTGATGAAGTGGATATGGTTCCAGAAGTTCCCCCACCATTGCAAGTATTCAAAACAGCATTTGAACGGTTTGACTTATTAATCTTATGGGCGCCGCTCCCCTCCTCTAGTGATGGCAGCTTATGCCACGCATCCTGATAGCAAGGGTTCATATTTCATACCTGCATTTGGGACACAGCTAGCAGCATCTTGAAGCGGGTCTGCAGTATGCAGGAGCAGGAGGACTGTGATACAGTGACACATTGCCTGAGCCACAGAATGTCATCCCACATGCACGACAACTAGAGAGAAGCAAACAGAAAGAACTGAGATTCATATGTTTTCGATAGTTTGCCTTTCTGGCTCCTTAAAGATATAAAAGTGGTTATGGAAGGTTTACATTGTTTTAGAATGACACAATTCTGTATCAGAATCAGGCTGTTACTGCTTCTATTTAAAAATGTTTTCCATCTCAGAGTTATTCTTGCTAAACTTAATGGGACTTTACAATGTTAACTGTTTATTATGCAAAAAGCTAGACACTAGGGAAAATTATTGCCTCATTAAATTAGTAGTCTATAACAGCATCTGACACTCCAATCATTAGACTTGTACATTCATTTTTTAGACAAATGGGGAATTTGTCCGAATTTTGGGAAACTTGCACTTTCGAAACAATCATAAATGAATGAACTGCTTTTATAACAAAACTAATTGCTTGATGGGGATGTTAGTGATTGGTTAACATGTGGGGACCAAATGCAGGGCCCCCATCCCTTCACCCAATGCTGTTGGTGAGGGGTTACATTTTGAAGGGCTATTCCCTACAATATGCACCTTGACACTGCAGTTACCTCAATGGAAAGTAAATGCAATGCAGAAAATGATGCAGAATCATATTATACACATGAAAATAAATAAAATTTGTACTGTCCGCACAAACTGTACTTGTGTAGAATAAGATTTTGCATTATTTTCTGGGCTGCTTTCACATTCCATTGAGTTAACTGTGTTCTACGCATATTGCATGGATAGCCCTGAAAAATGTAAACCTCTAACCCTGAAATTGGGTGATGGGATGGCATGGCATGGGGGTACTTAACATAATACCTTCCAATCCCACAGGAGGGGGGGATTAACGCTTCCATGTGTAACCTTTTCTAGCCAGCAACGAGTGACAGGTTAAAAATGAAATTGATTAGTACGGATTTTGTTTGGGACAAATAAATGAAAAACAAAATTTGGGGGAACTGAACCACAGCATTAACAAAATTTGTTTAATCAGAATCGGTTGATTTTATTTGGACAAACCAAATTTTCCATCCGTTCAAGTCTACCAGCCATTGGATACTATGTTTTTCTATCTTGTTCAGACCGTAATTGTCAGGCCCCTGCTACTTACCTGGCAATCTCTCGGCGCGTTTTTCTTTCTGTTTCATGAGGTGTTGTGCTGGCTTGCACCTGAGTCCCAGACAGAGGTCGGCAGGGCTTTCTCTACAACTTCCTGTATAACTCTCTTCCGAGCGCCAGAAGCGATCCCATGGCATCTGTAAAGATGCCGCAGCTTGCAAACTTTCCAGGATCGGCTTTCCTTGGAATGCGGTAAGTGACCACCAATCCTCCTCTCTGTCTAACCCCATGGGTGCGCACGCAACAAATACTGGTGTACGTAAAGGGAGAGAGAGGTGTGGTACTTGAAGGAAGAGACAGGGTGTCGGTGAAATGGCAGGCATGCCTTTTCTCCCTATATATGTGTGTCAGTAGCCCAGGCCTCCTTGCACAGTACTGTGCTATCCTCAGTGACACACTAGTGTTATTTCTAACCTTTGTTTCCTGACCTTTCTGTAAAATACCCTATAAGAACCTGAGCTGCATGGACCAAACTTCTGCTATTCTGACCACATCTTTGCCTTGCTTGTACTGGTACCTTATTTGGTTGGACAATTATTGCCTTTTTAAACGTATACTTAGCTGAGCATTATATAACCTGACCAATTTAGCCATTTTAAAAGAGCATTGTCACGACTACCAGTGTGGTCCAACACGCACAACTATGTAACATCTACATAGACTATAGAAGATAGACAGAACGTAAACCGCTCCTTAGAATGGCCGGGTTAATACGTTGAAAGACAGAGAATGGTCAAGGGAAAGCCGAGGTCAAGGAAGCCAGAAATACACGAGATCGATCAGGAAAGCCAAGTCAGGGAAACCAGAGATAAGAGTAGTCAGGAATAGCCAAAGTCAAAATACTGGGAAGATCAAATAACAAGAACAAGGAAAATGCACTCTCGGTAACCAGGAACTGAAACCACGACAGGGCAATAGGCTAGGGAACGTCAGAGGTTTAAATACCCCTCCTTGTGCTGCGATTGGTCAGAGCTTGGCCTCTGACCCCAGAATGTGCGAGTGTGTCGACGTGGTGACGTCACACGCAAATTTGCGTGACCCTGGAAGGCGGAGCTACAAATGGGCACGACCTCATGGTCACACCATTTTGTTTGTCGCTTGTGGAGGGGACGGACGCCC